TGTCTGTCACTGTGTTTCATTTACTGTGTCACTGAGGTCACAAATCACTGTCTGAATTCTACATTGGAAAAACCCTCTCTATGCATCCCTTAATGTTAATCTGCTGGCAGTGTGACGTGTAAAGTTCGTCTGAATAAGCAGCTGAGTCACTTTCATGGTCATGAAGGAAAATTTACTGAGTCAACATTTCTGTACCTTTGTCAACACAACAGAATTCAGTGGTGTCAGATGAACGTACAGGCTGCAGCAGCACAGTGTATACAGAGATGTAAAGTCGTGTTTTGTGCAGCTTTGTAAGATGCATAAAGAAAATAAAAGTTACTAGTTTAATAAACTATGAAATATTGTGAAAGAATCATCTTTGAGTTGTTGAGACTGTTTTAATATCAGATAGTTTGGTTTTCCTCTCACAGTGTAACTGCAGCACAAGAGGGTTAAAAATCCTTCTTACAGTCAAAGTAATAATTTAACCACTATATTTTATCATTTTTTTACAGTTGCATTTACATTATGAAAAAACGGAATATCCAGCAGCTTATTTGACTGTTATTTTTCTCTACAGAGCATTGTTCAAAACATTCTGTCTTCTCCAGAAAGTGAACACAGCATCTAACCACAGTTCAAAGGTAAAATATGGCTCTGTCTGACACATCACCTGTATCCACTGCATAAAACCATCTTCATGTTCTACTGTATGATTTAAACACAGCCATATTTATGCATATTTATACCTATTACAAGTGTGTCATCCAACTCTTCTGCTCTCATGGATCATTGCTATGTCAGTCTGAAAAAAATTAATTACTCATAGAAGGAAATTAATGAATCAAATTTTGAGGACACAAAGGAGATGGCTCATAATCCAACGCTGCTCCATTAGGCTTGGAGAGAACGCTCTAGAACAAGGTTTTAAAGAGATTCTTCATTAGATAAGTCTAATGAACATATTTGCAGTGCAGCAAGTTGAAATGCTGTTAAAATAACCTCTCACAACCACAATAATAATTTAGCCAGCAGATGTTGGTACTGCAGTCCAAGAGATCTCTCTACACTACCTCTTACAATGTACCTCACACTGCTCTCACTGTCACTCATCTGTATTCAGTGAGGGTGGTCCTGGTCAAACTATGACCAAGTCCCATACTCATTAGTGAAAAAAACAACTAAATACTATGTTACAGAAATGACTTGTAGCAAATCTGTAATCAGAACAAGCCATATCAAATAAGCGCTTAGTTTGAGCCATCCTTTTTCTTAACTGTCATATTTCTACCTGTTAGACTAAGATTTGCAACACAGATGCTCCCTTTAGTTTAAATTTCATTATAACTTCATTTATGAATATTGAGCACAAAAGCTTTTGTCTGGGTAGAATTACATTACAAATGAAAGGCTGTAAAGACTAAAGTGTAGAGTCAGAGCACGGCGGATTATTTACCAAGTAACATTTTATAACTATGCTAGCTGCGTTAGGGTTCACGACATCAACCTGTATATGATAAACATGTTTTTACAGTCAGGTTCATAAATATTGGAACAATGATACGTTTTGGCATTTGGCCTCTGTATACCACCACAGTGAATCTGAAATGAGACACTCAAGACCTGAGTGAAGTCAAAACTTTCAGCTTTAATTCAAGAGGTTTGACAAACATGTGGCTTTATTCATTCAGGAATAGGGGTTATGCGCAACTTACTTCCGTATACTGCAAAACAGAATCATCCGTTTCCGGTTTGCGACTAGTATGAAATATGGCACTGTTCTACTCAAGATGTCTCCAAGAACTACCAAAGATGAAGATCACGGATGTCCACAGAATATGCAGTTCGACATCTAAAACACCGGGCAGCAAGCTGGATAAGGGGTTTAAGCTTTATGCTTCTTCATACATCCACGACTACGAAGGTAGAGTTATGTATCGGTTATCTTACAAACGGAGATGTAGCTAAGCTAGTTTTTTTTTTTTTAATCTACGAACTAATCAAATAAAACGAGCTCAAAGAACGTGTTTCGCGTTACTACTGTTGTGTCACCCGCGTTCTGCGGAAAAGCGGAAGTGCGCTCATCCGTTTTTCGGTTTGGTCACGTGACGTTCCGCATAACCCCTATTAGAGCCATTTTCATGGAGGTGGTTCTGAGTGTTTGCATTTAGTATCTGTTCACTGGAACGCTCAACATGAAGTCCAAAGAGGTGTCTGTGCAAGTGAAGGAGGCCACCATTAGGCTGAAAAACAAAATAAGACCATTAGAGAAATAGCAAAAACACTGGGAGTGGCCAATATGACAGTCTGGAACATTCTTAAAAAGAAGGAATTAACTGGCAAACTGATACGTTTTAGAAGGCCTGGAAGACCACAGAAGACAACTAAAGTGGATGACTGCAGAATTCTGTCCATGGTGAAGACCTTTCATAACATCTAGCCAAGTCAAGAACACTCTTTAGAAGGTAGGCGTGTCACTGTCCAAGTCTACAGTCAGGAGACAGCTTTATGAATGTAAATACAGAGTCTTCACATGTCAAGATGTCCTTGAGCAAGATACACTGGCCAAGTCAGAGCGTGCTTTTCATTTACTGAAGGCAGAAAGACTAAAGGCCAGATTAGACTTTGCCAGAAAAACACCTAAAAGCCTGCCCAGTTCTGGAATAAGACTCTACGGACTGATGAAACCTAGTACCAGAATGACGGGAAGACTAAAGTATGGAGAGGGAAGGGAACAGCTCATGATCCAAAGCTTATCACATCATCTGTCAAACATGTATGTTTGTAATTATGTTAGTTTGTTCCATTATTTATGAGCCAGCAGTAGGGGTGTGTGTACAGATGACCTGACTGCTGATAAAAGTAGCAAGATGAATTCTGAAGTGTATAGGACTGTACTCTGCTCAGATTCAGCCAAATGCTGCAAAACTGATAGGACCCTGCTTCACATTGCAGATGGATAAAGACCCAGAACATACAGCGAAAGCTGCCCAAGAATTTCTCAAGGCAAAGAAATGGGCTGTTCTTCACTGGCCAAGTCAGAGCATGTTTTTCACTTAGTGAAGGCAGAAAGATCCACAAACAATCAGCAGCTGCAGTAAAGGTCTGGCAAAGCATCTCGAGCGAGGAAACCCAGCATTTAGTCATGTCCATGGGTTCCAGACTGCAACGGATTTTCATCCAAGTATAAAAAGTATTAAAGCCAATCCATATGTTTGTAATTACGTTAGTTTGTTCCATTATTTATGAGCCACCAATGGGGGTGTGTGTACGAAAATGGCTCTTATTCCTGAATGGTTAATGACACACATTTGTCAAACCACCTGAAATAAAACTGAAAGTTTTGCTTTGGCTCCATCTTGAGTGTTTCATTTTGAATTCAGTGTGGTGGTGTATGAAGGCCAAAGTCCAAAACTTACCATTGTTCCAATATTTATAAACCTGACTGTATCTTTGTAATTGATACTTAGTGGGGAAGAATTATCTTAAGCATCTATCTGTCTCTCTTTTATTCACGCGATTATTGTTCAAATAATTTTGTTTTTTTCTCTTCCTTGTCAGAGGGTTCATCGTCTTCATGCTCCTCTACAGAGAGCACTGAAAACCAAACACCATTATATAAACCAACTACTGTTCCTGTCTGACACATCACCTGCATGTGTATGTTGCTTTTACAGTAGCCTTAAATATGTACATTTTGATCCAAAGCTTTAACATCCCAGTGGCTTCACACCCTCTCATTTTTTATACATTTTGTTTTTAAAACAGTTTTTGTGCTGTTCATTTATGAATGCTTATTTGGGTGGGGGGTTGGGGGGTGTGAAGGATAGCCAAGAGTTGGACAGCAGTGATAACTGGAGACAGTATTATAAGCCTACAGAAGGAAACCAAGGTGATCATAAATTATACTAAGAAACCCCAAGCAGGCCCATGAACCAGACTTCAGCACACCAGCAGAAATACTGCAGTTAAGGAAAGGGGGGATGTTTCTGTGAGAAAGGGAAGTAGTATACACATCCCTACAAAACAGGAACTGTAGGCAGAGTGTGTGTCGGTAAGAAAAAAAGAAAAACGAGCCCTTGAGTTTATTGAAAAAGAAATATAATGCTTTCATGTGTAAAGTAAGGATTTTATTGACAATCAGTGTTTTATCAATGTTTAATCAGGTGTTAAAGTAATTTTTCTATTCAAAATACAGTGATCTATGTTTTAAATTCACTGCATTGACAGTTTTTGTGTAACAGTGTGTAATTCTGATGGATTAGTTAGATGTGGTGATGGGATTTTATGGTTTTGATCAGATGTGATCAGGCCAAAAAAGCTAATGACTGCAAAATATGGCACCTGGTTGGATGGAAGGACTAAGAAGTCTACATGACAAAAGGCCTATAAAAACCATGGCAAAAAGAGGAATGAGAGACTTTTTCACATTTGCTGCCAGAGGCTCTGTCTGGTTGTTTTTCTGAGCTCCAGAGGACTGAAACTACACAGAGGCAGGTCGAGAGGACATCTCAGCTGTTGGAAGGGTTGGAAAGAAGATAGAAGACTGGACCAGAAGTGTGTGTGTGTGTGTGTGTGTCTTTGTGACTGACTAGTCAGCATGAGCAAAGCTTCTGCTGTGAGCTGCACTCATAATGCACAACATTTTACTGAAACAAATATAATTTCAGGTGTACATCATATTTAGAAATGAGTTCTTTAATATGTGCTGTATATTTGCTGATATTCTGCCCTCCAAATAAAGAGATTAAAATTAAAGGCTTTATTCTGAAAACTATTTACTCCTGTTGTTCATTCTGTTATAAATCAGAATAATTACTGACTGCAACAATCATTTACTAGGTTCGATTACCTAATGTGTATAAATGTTTTTGTATAATCCAGCCAAACACAAGAAAGCTGAAGCAGGACTGCTATGAATGCAGCTTGTTTTTACACGATACAGCGTCTGAATAAACCTCGGCCAACAGGTTAGTTCACATTTCACACAGATCCAACTTCACTTTGTCGTAACAATATCATTTCTACCTGGTGAATCATGATGCACCTTTAGGCCTGAAGTCCTAATGGTCTGAATCTGTTTATATGACACAGGGAATGATTGTGTCAAAGAAGCATGATTATTATTTAAACCAAATGAACATGAAATTAATTTTGTTACTCATATGCCATACTGCAGCTGCAGGCAAGATTGTTTAATTAAATCAATAGATTGTTTTCTTGTTAGTCATATTTCTTTATGAGTAAATATAAAATAATTAAAGTGCATTCTGTTATTACCTAGAATTTAAGAAGGCTACTTAAGTACAATTTTGAGGTACTTGTATTTGAGTGGGCTATTTCCATTTTACTGTTACTTTGTACTTTAAACTCCACTAAATACTGTATAAATTCTGAAGTAGCCTACACTATAACAAAACAGGTAGTCTACGTTTAGCTCCAGCTTTTCCAGCTGTAAGATAACGGTAAAGTGATGCTTAGATCAATGCATCACTATATAATTTACATTATTGTGAAACTGGCCGTTCTGTGTTGTGAATACTTTTACCTTTGACGTATATTTTGCTACTAATATGCTACTTTTGCACTTCTACTTATGTAAAAGTGCATAAATAAGGCCCAAACATCTTCTTTAGGAAATAATAGATCCTCTGCTGTTTAACTGTAATATGAACAAAAATATGTATATGAGATTATGTTTTGGAAAAAGTACAAAACTTTACTAAATCCATCCCTGTAATGTTAAGCTCTTTGATGTACGTATGTACTGTGTGTATTCATTTATTGCTTAGTTTGACGTGGGACAATAACAAGGCTTTACCCCAGGTTGCACTGAATGGTTTAAGACGTACTTGACCTATGGGAAGAGCTCTCTGCTGAGAACAGGTAGAAACAGTCTGACGTGGTTTTATTTCACATCACACATCACTGTTCCTCTCTTCCTTTCTCTCTCCCTCCATTCCGCCCTCTCAGACCCAGTCCCTCACCATCCTGCTCTCCCTTTGTCCCATCACCTCTCTGCTCCACAGTCTCATTATAATTAATATGATCAAACACAAATCCCATTTTACCACATTTTACCAATCCCATTTTCCACAGCCTGTGTAACACACAACCATACTGAGCTGTGATTTTACCCCTTTGAACCCAAAGAGGCAGCAATGCTTTTCCAACATTCCACGTTTGCTGTAGAGTTTGTCTTTACAATAAAGCCAAGCTAAAAGTACTGGTTGACTGTTTGACCGACCTCCTCTGGTCCAGTTTCAAGTCTCAAATCCAAAGAAAGAACTACAGTAATCCAGTTCAACTGGTCATACATTTAAAGACTGTGCTGTCCCAGAACAAGTTTACAACATGTCAGAATCTGTGCCAGAAGAAGTAGTGGGCTGTAGTTCATGATACATTTACTGTGTGTGCTCACTATGCATCTGAGTTTACAAGCAAATTTACCACTATGGCATTTTGGAACATATAGTAAGCCACACCAGACAAAATGTGACTGTAAATGTACCAAGTGACAAAGAGGTTAAAAGAGGCTGTAAGTAGACAACTGTCTCAGCAGAGACTTGATGGATCATGGACCAACAAAACAACAACATAGCAGCTTTGTTCTGAAGCTTATACTGTATTCAGATTAGACCTTGAAACAGGTGATGTCATAAAAACCCATCACGACTGCTCCAGGAAAGAGAGAGACTTTGTCAAACTATCATGCCTCAAACTGGACAAAGCAGTGATAAGACCTAATTATGAAGGTAGGAAACATTTTAACAGTCCTGCTCTTCATTTTTCTCTACCTTTTTGTTTGTGTTGTTAAATCTCTGCTCAGATTTGTTCATACTTCATTTTAACATTTATATTAATTTTAAATCAGTGTGTACCTCAGCTCCAGATTATCACCTGATTTTAGGTTTTCAGCAGAATCAGAATCTGAATCAGAATCAGCTTTATTGGCCAGGTGTGTCGGACACACGAGGAATTTGACTCTGGTACATCGGCTCCCAATGTGCATGTACATATCCCCATGCAAGGGGCTGTCAGGTTTGCTCGGCTGCACCTGCCTCCCTCTCTTGGTTTACGGTCGCTGTTCACTCCTCATTCCACACATTCCCTAATCATCACCAGCTGCGTTCGCTTATTTCACACTCTTCTTATACCCAGCTCACATTCTTTTCCCTTGCCAGTTCGTCGATGCCCTCCCTCTCTTTGTTTATCTAGTTTTGCTCCCTCTCGTCCACCCACTCTGTTCCTCCTCTCAACCCTCTCCACGGACCATTACTCCTCACCACTCTTCCAACCTCCACCAGCCAGGTTGGTACACAGTCGTCAGACTCTATCTGCTCACCGCCTGTTTCTATTCTGTCTCCCCAGCCGCTCTCCACCTCCACCGGCCAGCCCAGGAGTGACGCTAGCGTCCGCAGTTAGGCCTACCTCATCTCTTCCTTCCATGGACTGTTTGCTAACTGGTCGACACCCGGCTATACAATAACTCATTTCTGTTTAGTCTTCCTTCTCACTGCTACCGTATATAGTCTGTATAGCACTAATAAATCCACTTGCACTGAAGTCAGTCATCTGGGTCCGATTCTTCGCACACTCACCCACCAGTGAGTGAGTGTTCCTAACAGGGGCAGGTAAACAACAAGCATAAAGCTGTAGAATAGAACAAGATAAGCGGTATTAACAAGCAAAAGATGTTTAAATGATTATTTTCTCAATTTAAAGCCACTGAAAGTTTTGTTGGAGTTTTATTGTTTTGAACTAACCAGTAATAAAGTAGACTCTATCAGGGCTGATGTCAGCTGGAGCCCGCTGGGACTCTGTGCTGTGGCTGTTTGGGCTGGTTCCAATGTGAATCAGGGACTTTTCCTGGGTTGTGGCTCCGGTCAAACCTCCTCTTCGTCCCGCCTTCTCCTGCACAAACCAGCACTCCAGCAGTGGGCAGCTGCTGCTGCAGACTTTAGACAGCAGATTAACAAGAAATTGACAATAAATAAAAAAATACTGTGAAACATGAACATAATAGTAGGATAACTGGAAATCAACCTGCAGTGTATAGTAGCCTAATAATCAACTCTGTAAATGTATTTATTTATTTACTTGTTTAATTTTTCTTTTTCGTTATTTCGCTTTTAGGCATAATTAACATATTCTCACATTCTCCTCGCTCCAGCGCATCTAATTTGTATAAACTAACATAATGCTACAGTTTAGGTTTTGGATTTTATTTTTAACTTCTCATGAAAACTGAGGCTTCCTGAAACCAAACAGCTTCCTGACCTGTTGGTGCAACATTTAATATCATTTTCTAGTTTATTACACATTAGTTTACTGATTTCTGTAGGAAGATGCATTAACCATTAGTTTTATATCTGTTCAATCACTTCTCTGTGGCTCCTGAAGCTAAATCGGACAGAATAAAAACTATAATCTGGAACTAAGCAGAGCACAATTCATGACTGAAAAGGACCAGGGAGAAGAACAAATATTACATGTCCTGCCTCCTCTCATAGCCTAATTAATACATTTCATAAATATAAATACTTTCTAATGTGACACACATGAGCAGCGACAACGTAACGTTACTGAACAAGTCATTAGGTTTATATGGTCACAGGCCTGTTGTTTGACCTCGATTCTCTTAAATGACTGGATATTTAAAAACATATTTAAGACAATTCACAGAGAATCTCAGTTTATTTGGTTTGTTAGGTCCAATCACAACCTGCTAATAGTTATGACATTTAGACTGTTTGTACAGTAACGTGTTGTTCCTTGTGTGTACAGTAACATACTTGGCCAAATAAAGGTGATTATTATCCTGATTATTAGCCTCAAACATCTCATCATTGTTTGTGCGACACTGCTGAGATGTTTGATCTACAAGTATTATCAGACAAGACATTTATTTTCTGGGCATCAGACCAAAGTCATTTCTGGTCCAGGGCAGAACTTGTCAGGTGCAGCTCAGCAGAGAAAGATGAGAAACATGAAGTTAGACAGCAGAGAGCAGTGTTGGATCCTGAAGTGGACAAGATGTTACTGGAAAAACTCAGATATCTGCAAAAAGTTCAGTTTATTCTTTTAAAAGAAAAAATCT